GTCCTCTCTGGTGTCGCAGTTGGCGCCGAGGTAGCCATGGCGGCAGCGGCTCTCGCCGGGCCTGACACAAACCTCGTTCTCCTTGCAGGTGAAGTTCCCCTCGCATACAGCGGGACAGACGGATGGACAGATGGCAGGCATGAGTGTGAGTGCCAGCGACTCGCCCCTGCTCCCCCAAATCCCTCCCAGCCCCACAGAGCAGGGAAAGGGGTACGCGGCGGCACGCTGAGTGCTGCTGAGCTGTGACACTGTGACCATCCCAGCAAGCAGCTGGGTAGGCTGGATGGGACCCTCGCCAGAAAAATGCCACCAGCCTCCTGCCACCCTGTTCAGCTCCATCCCTGCCACCAGCCTCCTGCCACCCAGCTCAGCTCCATCCTGGCCACCAGCCTCCTGCCACCCAGCCCTGCGCCGTCCCTGCCACCGGCTGCACCCACAGCAGCATCCCTCTCTCAGCTCCATATTGCCGGCAGAGGCAGGCTCCGGGCATGGGTTGCCTGCAGGGGCCGGGGGAGAACGGGGACATAGGGGGGGGGGTTCACAGGCAGCCACGAGCATGGTCCCCCTGTCCCACTCCCTGCACTCCTTACGGACTGCAGGGGTGCCACTGCCACCCCCACCACTGCCTCTCCCACATGGGCCACGAGCCCCCAAAGGCCACCAGCCCCTCTCCTGCCGAGAGGACCTTGTGCTGGGGCCAATGCCCAGAGCGGGTCAGGCGCAGGACGTGGGACAGGCAGCACCGCGGTGCCGGCCGGTGCAGGCAGATCCCACATGGCCCTGGACAAGCCTTCTTAGCCACCAGGAGAGGGAGAGCAGACCACCCATCCCATCCACCTTACCTGGGAGTTCTTAGACCTACGGTGATGGATACTATAGAAACCCCTAAAATAGACAGATTACACAGGTTAGGAGCAGTGAGTCTAACGGTTAGAGCAGGTTGGGGGCGTATGAGGAGATGGGGACAGCTCACTGGTGGGACTGTCCTCCCCCCGCTGTCCTGGCAGACCTTGTCCTCCTCTCTGCCTGCCAGCACGCTGAAGGGACCACGTCCTGTTCCCGGCGCACGGGCACCCAACACATGCAGCGAGCGGTTACGAGGGCTCATGCACGGTGGGTTAGTTGGTTACGTGGTCTTTGCCGCTGGCTGCAAACTGCAGATGCCCCGGTCCGGTGCGTAGAGCTCCTCCAGCTCTCCTGGAGCAAGGCGAGCCCTGTGGCCAACTGAGACGGCCAGGAGTAGCACAGAAACCTCAGAACAGCCACTTGCATTGTGGCAGCAGTACAGGGGATGAGAGCTCCTGGGGCTTCATGCTGAGCATCCGTGCCGGGCTCGTCGTGGCCCCTGGGAAGAGCTGTAAGGCCTGACATGGCCACAGCTGGGGCTGCCCTGCCTGCAGGCTTGGTGGTCCCTGCCTAAAAAAAAACGGCCCCCATCGGGGCCACAATGGACACAGGCCCGGTCCTGGCGGCGTCTCCACCAGCGGTTCTGGCTTGGCTCCCCATGCTGCTGCAGCACCTGTGGGGAATCTCTGGGTCCCATCCCTGCAGCTGCACCTTCCCTGTCCCCATGCTTCACCCTGGGGGACACCTCGCTACCCCTTGGGTCCCAAAGCAGCACCTCTAAATCCTTAGACCCAAAGCTGGCTGGCATGGAGAAAACCCCCCCAGCCTGGGAGTGCGGGTGATGCTCCCTGTGGAGGAGCCCACTGGGGGTTGGGGCAACCCAGGGCATCACTGTGGGAGCAGGGGATACCCCAGGGCTGGGCTCTGTGACCAGCACCCCAACACTGGGGCTGAGCGCCCACTCCATCCACACACTGCTGGCTTTGAGCACCGCAGGGAGGCAGGACAGCCTCCAGCATCCCCGGGGAGCCCGGCTGCAGGCAGAGGCCCTAAGGACAGGGGGTCCCCACCATGGGGCACATCAGGGTGGCCCCTGACAGCAGTGGTGAGGCCGGGAGGGCTCAGCAAAGGATGGGCAGACGAGCCGTGTCCAAAGAAGCAAAATGCCGGTGCTTACCTATTAAACACTCGCTTCCTTGTTGCCTCCATCCCGGGCAGCACACCAGCACAGAGGAGCTGCAGGGGGAAAAAAGCACCACATATGGTTACGACCCTCAGAAAGTCCTGGTCCTTCCCAAAAACCCACTGGGAGCACTGATGCTGTGATGGTTGAGAGATCCCCCTCTCAGCCAGCTGAACCCTGGCCAGGGGCTGCTGCACCCCTGCGGGCCAAGGAGACTGTTGGCTCTTCCTCCACCATGCAGGGCGCACAGATCTGCTGGAGGGCTCCCATGGGCACCAGCTTGAGATGTCCCACCAGCCAGCCGAGGTGATGCCAGGAGCAAGGACAGGACCAGTTCCTCCCATTAATCAGGAGAGATGAAACAACGAAAGTTGCGTTTGCAACTGGTATTGTAAAACAAAATAAATCACAGAAGACCCCCAAAAGCTGGGATAAAAGGGAAGGCTCTAAATGTCCCAGCGGAAAACCGGCTGCTCTGCCCTCGAGGGTCCGGCAAAGCAGCCTGCTCCCGGGGTGGGCTAGCACCGTGCCTGCAGCCAGACGCCTGGCTGGTCTCCCCCTGGTGCTGGACCTCCCCGCTCAGGAGGGTGCTGCGGCGAGCGGCGGCCGGCAGTGCCCGCACTGCGAACGTCCCCACACTGCTCTTCTCTGCCTGCGAGTACGCTGCTGCCTGCCTGCACCCCCTGCCCTCCTCGGAAGGACCCTCGCATCGCTGGCAGCACCCACAGCCCTGCTGTGGGCACAGGGGCAGCAAGTCCCCCCTCGGCTCAGCCCTGCCCTGCCAGCTCAAGGGACCTGCATTTCCACTCAGCGCTGCCTGGCTGCCGCAGGAAGACCAAACACGACCTAAACCCCAGGTTCGCTGCTCGGTGGCCTGGGGATGGCACCCCAAAGGCAGGCTGGAACCACCCTGCCGGAATGGCTGGAGCACAGCCAGCTCCCGGGGGATGTCCCCCATGGGCGAGCCGGGTGATGCCAACTGCAGGTGGCTGGGATGTGTCCCTGAGCCCTTCGGTGTCCTGGAGTGCCACCACCTCCAGGGAGTACCATGCACAGAGTCATCAGCCAAAGCGTTTTTGGCACAAGCTTGACCCCAGCCAACACCAGGATGGGGTCTGAGACCCCCTCGGAGGCACAGTCAGCGATGCTAAGCTCCCTGCTGGGATGGGGCACACAGGGACTATGCAGGGATACCTCACCCACATTTGTTCAATGACCCCTCCCAAGCGAATGGCTGGGGGCTCATGATACTGCAACCC